AGACTAAGGTGCCAACTCATACAAGCTAATTCGGTTGTAAGCCTATGAACTGAACGTCAACATAAAACTAATTTTTGTATGTCTCATAATCGAAAATTAGTGGCATTTGTACTAAAGCTCCATTTGTTTCGGCCAAAGACGTTCTTCAAAAAATATTTTTCTACATTTTCTGGTATTTGGTATGACAAAAAACAAAAATTAATGGAAAACATTTTTCATGGTCAGTAAAAAACAAGTCTATTTGGGCGAAAAAAGTTTTACAAACTAAACTTTTATCAATGTCATCACCACATTACCACCACCACCATCACTGTGTGGGGGTGATTTCCGCACTATGAAGAAGGGTTGAACTTCGTGGATGAACGGCGTGCTTTGGGAATTGAAGATCTGCACAAAATAACAAACGGTGAGGCTGCCCGACCGGGGTTTGGTCAGAAACCCCTCCGATGATAAAGTCAGGGACTCAGGGAGAGGAAGAAGAGGGAATACAAAGAGTGTGTATGTGTTAAGTGTGTGGATTTCGAATCCCTTAAGGGTGAATAGTGCTCACCTTTTATAGGAGAAGGTTGCTTGTCCTCCAAGACCTTCTCTCTCCGCCATCTATCCAATGTGTCTTATTCGTGGTCGTCTCCCATTGGCGGAAGACGGCCACTCCACCTAACACTCGTGCAGGTCTGTTTTGTTTGTCTCATTAGCGGTCATTTCTTATTAGAGGAGGACGACCACTGACATGACACTCAGATGCAGGTCTGTCATGTGTGCGCCTTGTCCCTCTACACCTCCTCGTCTCCACGTTCTGGTCACACAGAGGGAGAGGAGCAGAGTTGTTTGTCTCTTGTGAGCCCAATAAATATCTTCAATGAATTGGCTTTCTTTAATTTGGTCTACTCTAGAGTGGTTGTCCAACCAGGAGGTTCAACATGTTACTCAACCCACTTCGGAGTGGTTGGCTGCCCATCCAGGAGGTCCACCATGTTGCTCGGCCTGGCATTCGTATATTGGGCAGAACTCCTATGATTGTCTTGCTTCGGAGCAAGTGTTGGCCATAGGACCGAGGTCCAACCTAGCCCAACCTCGAAGTGAGTATCGCATTAGGCCTAGCACCAAAACTTGATTTTTTACCCACATCAATCACCATCTACGCAATTGCTGCTATCACCGCCACCACCTCCTCCTCTATCCTGTTACTGCTACTACTATCACCACTAATGCAAATATTAGTGCATTAGTTTTAAGAATGCAACCAAAAATGAGAAAATGTTTTCTATGAAAAACATTTTTTGAAAAAAGTTTTTCGCAAAAAATATTTTTCTATTAAAAAATATTTTCCGTTAAAACGAAGGGAGCATAAGAATATGATGATTAAAAAGGCATTCACTTAAAAATAATATAATTATTATAAATTAAAGGTACTTGCTATCGTTGCAAAGCATGTTACGAATGATATTGTATGCTTTGATTATGTTTGAATGACAGAAATTTAAGAAAGAAAAAAATGAATGAAAATTCATTATCAAAATTACATTACTAGTAACAGATTGTCTTGTTGTTTAGATTAGTTAAAAGTAACAAAAATTGTCATGTTGTTTGGATCAATTAAATGTATTTTATAAAAAACAGACAATTTTAAAATTAATACCCAATTTTTCTTTAAATTCTTTTTATTATTTAAATAGCTAATTCCCTACAAAGGGGTCGGATTTCACCTTGTGAAGTTGCATCATTATTATTCCTTTTTGCATATATTTCTTGTGGGTACAAAGTTGCATGTATATTGACACTACAATATATAAGAGTTTTAGAAATTAAATTTTTTAATCTCTAAAAGTGAAAAAATTATTGCAAAAGGTATTTAGGGACCAATTTCTATCGTCGTGAGGATAGTCGCTAAAATGTGGTAAAAAGTCAAAAATAAGACTTTTAGTGATAAAATTTTGAAAATGTCACTAATAAATGCAGTATTAGGAACAAAATAATTTAGTCTTAAAATGGTTTATTTTTTTAGACAAAAAATTTGGTCTTAAAAAGATAATAATTATCATTAATGTCTAATTTTTATTATTAAAAATATAATAACGACACTTTTCGTAATGAAAATATTTGGTCCCTAAAAAATAATTTTATCCTTAAATTTTAATTTTTAAAATTTTAATTTTTTATAATGTGATGAAAAATGTTATGCTTAAATACTTTCTTACCAAATTTTCTGACACTAAATGCAATGATAATGGTCCTTTGTGGTTTTATTCAACCCAACACCTTTGTATTTAATGATATACATTTAACGTCAGTCAAAAAAAAATTTATTTCACCTTGGGAAGGATTGGATGAGAGTTAAGTGGGTAGGTAGGGAAGGCGATGTTCTGATGAGAAGTCAATTTAATTTTTTAATTCAAGTAAACATTCATTTTTATTCTCATCGTACCATTATTTGATTGATTGGGCTTGTCTGTTCTCTTCTCCCAAATTTTGGTCATTGTTTGCTTTGCACCTAAAATAGAAGTAAAATTTCAATAGGATGGTAATTATAAAACTATATATGATTTAATGAACTCACTATTAAGATATAATTAAGAATTTCAAGATAAATCTATAATTGTTACATTATATATATATATGGTAGAATTTATTATGTTCCCATAGTATTTTGTTATCATCAACTGTATTTGTTATTACGTGTTGGTGTTTATGTAATATAATGAGTGAATTATGCTAACAGTTTCTATAGTTTGGAATGTCAATTTGGTCTCTGACTTTTCAATTGTGACATATTTGACCCTAAATTATGTAAAATTGATAAATCTTTTAGACATTTATTTATTTATTTATTTTACTAAATTAATTTTTATTATGTGTTTCGATGATAATCATATAATGGGTGGTTATTTTTGTTTTCATTAAATTAGTTTCTATTTTTTCAAAAGTCAAATATGGCGACAACTTTGATATCATTATTAAATCAATCCATTAAATCAAAAAAAATCCAAAACTAAAAATATTTTATATATTAAACGTATCGATTACACATTAAAAGTTTAACAACTACCCATTACATAATCATCATCTAAACATATAATAAAAATTAATTTGGTAAAATAAATAAATAAATGTCTAAAAGATGTACAATTTTACATAATTTTATCTTTGGAGTGTAGAAATAATTTTTAAAATTTTTAAAATATTTTTTTGACATTTATTTTTGTCAAATTAGTTTATATTTTATCAAATTAACTATTTTACCCTTAAAATTAAGTAATGATATCTCCAATTATCCTTATTTGGAATGAGATTCAAAATTCAAAGTAAAATATGTCACAATTGAAAAATCAGGGATCAAAGTGACACAAACCCCAAACTATAGGGACTATTAGTATAATTTGCCGTAATATTATTGTTGTATTAAATTTTTTCAACGGAAGGTGTACTAATGAATGAATTAATTTTGGTTGAAAATCAGCATTTATTTTATGAAAAAATAAAAATAAAAACTAGTTTATTAAAAAAAAATACTCGTTATTTTTATTTGAATTCTTGTTTTTTGAGGCAAAAAAAAATTAAAATTTTCAAAATATTTTTGTGATATTTTATTTTTATTAAATTAGTTTCTAGATTTTCAAAAAAAAATATAGGAAAACAAGTAATGAAAACTCAACCAACAAGAGTTAGGAAATTTTTTTAGCAGTTTTTTTTTCAGTGCTTTTTTTAATAATTTAAAAAGCTTCACACTTTTATGTTTCTAGAAATATTTTTTTCTAAAATCTGCTAAAGACCAAAAAGAAGTCAAAAAGCTTAAAATGTTGATTTTTTTTACTTTTATTTTTAGTTTTTTTTTTTACTTTTTTCAAAAAAAAATTTACTTTTAAAACCTCTAAAGACAGACAAATTTGAAAAGTAAATTTTTTTTTGTAAATTTTAAAAATTATCACAAAATAAAAAATAAATTGAGTTTTGTAACTTCTCTCAAATAAAAATAAATGTGAAAAAGCTCGTTCCAAATTAAATATTATTTTGTTTATACATAATTCGTGAATAAAACCAATCTTAATTTTAAGTTTAATTTAATTAAAAATGGATGATAAATTTTATATTTTAATTATAAATTAGGGTATTGCTAACAACTTCCCTAATAGCATCTCCGAAACTTAGTCCATATTTCATTAAATTTAAATTTGATAAAATACGTTCTTTTTTTCCGATCCAATCATGGTGTCAAATCCATATCAAATGAAGACGAGGTTAGATTTTTATCAAATCAAAAGAGTATTTAACCTTTCATTAAATTTTACAAGCGACCTTTGGTGGACAACCGGCAGAACAACCGGGCGGATAATCGGCTTGAGAAAGTTTTGTTAAAAATTTGTTCTAAAACAAACGACTGGTCAAATTTGATGAAACGATTGGAGTATAACATATCAAATCAAACTTTTACATAAATTTGATGAAATTTTTAAATAAGCATTAGAGATATTCTAAGGGCGCATGCGTGCGCACGAAAAAAAAAAAAAAAAAAGTATAAAATCTAATACATTTTTTATTAATTTTATAACACTTTTCACTTATTTTAAAATATTTTTTTATTTTTTTTTATAATTTCTAAAACACTTTTTACACTAAAATTCTAACATTAATTAATAAATAATGTTTGACATAAAAAGCTTGGGTTAAAATAGTCATAAAAATATAAAATATGCTAAAAAGTTAATAAAATAAAATATCATATTTAAATTATAATCATTTTATTTTTTTTCATAAAAATTTAAAAAAATATGTTTCGAATAAGATTTTTTAATTACAAATTAAAATAACCAAAAAAATTAAAAAGGAAACTCACATCTAAGCCAGTGGATCCACTTAAAAAGTATACATCGTTTTCGGTAAGTGTTTTATTACACGTGTGATTCAAACTGCGTATAAAACCTTCTTCATGGCATTACGTTTCCGTCTCCGCGCAGGTTTCAGGTTTCTTTACAAAACCGTCTGATTCTCTCCCTCTCTCTCTCTCTCTTTCTCTCTCTCTCTCTCCAAGACTTTCTCTCTCTAAACTCAAAACTCAATCGATCTCTCCACAATCAAACCATTCCCAAAAACCATCTCTCTCATACAATTCCCATAACCTTCGAAAAAAAAAGGCCTCTCTCTCTCTCTCTATGTATATAGAACACATGATTCAGGTGTGGTGTGTTCTTCACATTAGCCTCGTTTGTTTCTTGAATTTTTTTGTTTCCTTTCCCCTTTTATGACTCTCTCTAGGGATTTTATTTTAATCTTTTATATTCTACATATGTATATATATATATTGTGTTGATTGAGAGCAAAAGCAAAACTCCTTAGGATTGTTTGTTTATGAAATCATTAATGTCTTCAACAGTGAAATTGTTGATTCTTGGACAGAGAGAAGATAGTAAAAAAGAAAAAAAAAGAAGAAGATCAAGACTATGGTCTGGGGATTATAATAGAGCTTGCCTTTTGATTTGAATTTGATCTGGACAATTGCACGAGCCAAAAAGCTGCAGGCAGTTACGTGGGTTTTTTGGGAAAACCAAAAATACTTTTACGGTCTACACCAACTCAGGTGCTGGCTTTAGATAGTAGATAGATAGACAGATGCATATGTATGTATATTGTTTAGAGCTTGGGTTGAGTGTTGTTGATTTTCAATATTGTTGATATATTCACGCATTGATGCAATAATTCAGTTAGGCATTTATAGACAAATATTGGTTTCATTAGCAGAATATATATGAGCCTTTAATTTATTGATTTCAGTTACCCGAGATTGGATCCTCTAAGCTGATTTTTCCTAAAAGTGATCGTATAGTGATTTTTTGTATGGTTGAGATTTTTTTTTTAAGTGACTATCAGTACTATTGTACCCTCAACTTTTTTAGAATTAAATCTCAACCATACAAAAAAATCATTTTAAAATATCAATACCCTCCACTTTTGTAGAATTAAATCTCAATCATACAAAAAATCACTCTAAGATCACTCACCATTTATTGATTTTCAAAGCAGTAGGTAGACATTGCTTGTCGATAATCAGTTCTACTTCCCAACGTCTAACTCGAAATCCATTCAATGTAGGAGTAGTAGGAGTTGTTTTGATTTGGTTGTTGTTTTGCTTCATCTACATGTTTGGGCACTGTTTCAATTTGTTCTAAGTGTTACTTGTAACAATCAAAACTAAATGGCGGTTGTTATTGATGAACTTGTGTTTTATGGAAATTTAGAAACGTTGGAATAATGCAATGTAGTTGAAAGTTTGACATTTAGCTGTACCTATCAAATTTAAAATTTTGTTTGTTCATGATTAAAATGTTTTGAATTAAAGAGAAATTTCAGTGGTTCGTCATTGAACTGTAGTGCCCAAGTGGAATGCAATGAAAAATGTGACATTTTTATTTTTTGTAACAATTTTCTTTTGAAAATTATTTAAGTTAGTTTGGATGGGTAGCTCAACTAGAGTCTTGTTGGAACAAACACTAGCTAAAGTGGTTAGGCAAAATAAATAACATATTTTTTGTGTACTTTTGCTACGCAAAATGCCTTGTAGTATTGGAGTTACTTTGGTAATTTCTTTTTTTGAATTGTATGTGGTAGTAATGACACTTGTTTCGATCATTGCAACGTTTGCATGATGGATGATCCCAGTTACATACCTGTTAACAGCGACTTGAACATTGGCATTGATGGTGACAATTGGTCAGCTGAATTAAAGTCTGATAATTGGTGTCTTGTACAGTTGAACATCAAGCAGGGTGGATCTGGATTTGTTTCTTTTTTTTTGGATTTTGTAGATAAATTGATTGGTTAGGTGTTTTCCCCTTTTATTGTGGTTTTCATTTTGTATTATTTAGCATCTTCTTGATGCTTTTGGTAATAAATTTATTCATCAAAAAAAAAGGTCTGATATTCAACCACAAGTTAGAAATCCAGAGTGAATACTCTTGTTTTTCCCTTGACAAGGATTGTAAACATGCATATGTACTTGTATGTGAACGTATTTTGAATGTGATTGATTAGTTTTCTACTCTGACTTGCTAATTGGGTTGTGTCTATTGGATGCCTACTATTAGATTTTAATTGATCTATGCTGAATTAATACTAGTTATGCATTTTCATGGGCATGCTTTGACTTGAAACCTGTTTTAGAGGGTAAGTAAGTTGCTGGTGATACATTTCATAATATGTGCCAATTGGTGGATTTTTTAATTTTTAGTCTATAAATTGTATCAATCGGCCTTTTTCAAAGAATCTAATGAAGTGGCCTCAGTAAATTGTCATAGAGCTTTTTGATTAGAGGTGAAATATGTGTTTGCCATCTAAGAATTTAAAAGATTTGCCCCAGGAATTTCTGAGATTTTTTACTTCAAATGCATTTGAAATTTATAAGAAGATAGTATTTTGTATTTGTTCTTGAATAATCTGATAAAATTCTAATTATGGGGCTGGATTTTATAAATGCTTGTAAAGAAATGTTTCTAAAGTATATTATAATTGTTCATTCACAAATTCACCTAAAAATTCATCTTAGATTTCTACTTGAAATTTTGCCACTAATACAGTCAAAGGTGATTTTTTCCTTCCCTGCTGTAAAGTGAGAAAAAATGCAAGTGAGTTTGCTGAAAATAAAATAATTAAATTCAATGGCCATAGTGGAATTTTGTAGAGTTATAAATGTTTGAGTATTATGTGAGGTGTGCTTTTGATTTTTTAATTAATGTTTGTTTTTGTAGAATATAAAAGATATTAATGTAGGAAATCTTTGAATACTCCGAGTACAGCAACCTTATGATTTGTTTTACAGTTTAAAAGCAAGACAAAAAGTTGTGGATTTGGGGTTCTAATTTCTAAACGATTGATCTTTTTACAACTAGTAGTTTGAGAGCATAGCAGCAATTAGGTATTATTGTTAAATCAAAGGGCTAAGGGTTGGGGAAGAGGTTAGGGTCTATTAGTTCTCAACATGTAAGAGTTTCGGGGGCTGAATTTAGGCTATTCTGGGGCAGCAAGTACATATGCATGTTTACAATCCTTGTCATATTGGATGTCAAGTATTTATAATTTACAGCTATTGCTTCAGTAGATTAGTGATTCGCATTTTTTTGTCGTTGTTGTGTTATCAGTGCTTTATTTGTAGAAATTTCCATAGTTCTTCATCACTGATAATTTGTTAGACTCAGCATTGTATGAGTATTAATTTAAAAGATTAATTTCATGTTATTGAGGATTGCATTTGCATTATGTATTTTTTGTATGCAATCATCAATTCTTTCTAGTTTATGTTGTGGAAGAATTGAGCTTTTTGCTGGGCTGTTTATTGAATCTCAGATGTCAATAATCACTTACCATAATATAATTTTTGCATTTACAGGATTGAGGATATTAGTATCCTGGTTTCCTTGGCTAACCCCAATAATCTGAGTCAACCAGATAATTTTTCTGTAAAGTTGGAGAAGAAGCTTTATGAAGATGCAGCAACCAAGGTGTGTTTTAGTTAAAGTCATCAGAAGAAATACCTTATTTTTTTAGTTTTCTTTTTGTTGTTCTATTTAGACTGTAAATTGAAATATTTTGAGTGGTTATTTTCTGAGGAAATGGTGTATATCCTTGGCTAACCCCAATAATCTGATTTTTGCTCAAGGATTTGATGAAGGAATCCAACAAAACCAGTGATTCCAACGTGATTCAGAAGCTAAAAGTACATTTATCTTTCTGTTTTTTAATAGAGGAGAGTTAAAATGCAACTTTGCGATATCGGAAACTGTAGTATTCGAAATATAAGTAACAGATTGACAGGTTTATTAGGAAGAAGCAACTGGTCTAAGCCACCTGCAATAGTATTAGTGGTGAAACCTCGGAAGTTATGAACATGGACTTAGAGGGATGTGATGAACATAACTGTCAAAGGGAGATGAAAAACTTCACTTTTATCCATAGGACCTCAAAAAAGTCAAGTGGTTCTGCCATGTGGAAAGTAACACTGATAATTACAGAATTGAGAAAGTGGCATGATTTAGATTATAGAGTGTTGCAAGGAAAAAGAAAATCAAAGCAAATATAGGTAGAGGTAGCAAAAAGACATCACACGGTATGTTGAACTGCATTATTAACTTTAATAGAGTGGAATGACAAAGATTCTTATAAAAGGCTCAAAAGATAAAACCGACTCTTTTAAAGATTAAGGTGTAAAGTGAAAAATTAGGTATATCATTGATTGTTGGAGAGCTTGATATGCATTGTTGGGTCCCTTTTCTGCAACTTAATCTTTTGAGACTAGTGGTGATCTAATGTCCGAACTCAGGTTCAAGTCTCTCCATTTTCATTTGTTCCTCGTTTGCATTATACTTCCCTTTATGTTTGGATGATTGCTTCTCCATGTGCAAAAGGGGCTTCACATGAGGGATCACTTAAGCTTTTGGGACTAATATTGATCTGACACTGACAACCCCCTCCCTTAACATAAAATTAGAAAAGAAACGAAGAATAAGTTTGGCCAACTCTCTCTATGAGTATGCCAAGCACGTCGATATTTATAGTTATCAAGGAAATGTCAAGATTTTTAACACAGGACTTCTCTCCTCTTTTACCATGTTGGCAAGCTACCCCCTTAAAACTTTAAGCTAATAAAAAAGAGAGAACTATTTATAACATAACATCAATACTAAAAATGGTTGGGAAAAGACTTTTTAAGGACCTCAAAAGTGATGCAAGCTGTAGTGAAGAGCTCTTTGAAATTCATTGGAGGACTGAAAGAATCCCAACTCACCTGATAAGTAAATATACTAGGGGAGTACCTATTCCTACTAAGACTTGAAAGTTCCTAAACAATAGACTTTTCCAAACTGTCCCTTATCCTCTGGTCGAACAACCACCCTCCCCAAACCCCCAACCGACCATGACAGACACTCCCCGTGGCGGATTAGTTTTTTATATGATATATATGTGTGGCAGCCTCATTCCACCATGATACTGTGTCACACAATACTGTCAATGCATATCAAGTTGGGCTTGGGGTCTAATTAATTGGGTATTTGCAAGTCTCAAACTTTTTTATGGAAGTTACTGATGATGCATTTGAACTTTAATTAATTTTAACGAAAATCCATGGTTATTGGAATTCAGCATTTCGTTTATTCTGTCTAAATTTTATGAACTTTCTTTCTTTACTACCTTCCCCTGCCCCAGCCCTGGTATAATTTTTGGCTCTGCCACTTTAAGTACTTACTTTTCAACCATGTTACCTGGAGAACACAGGTAAACATATATTGTTGAATTTGGTTGAAAAGCTGTAAGCATGTCAAACAAATAATGCATACACTGCTGCTAGACATCACAGCTCTCTATCGTTCATATTGACAATATGTCAAATCTGTTTAATTCTTTGTGCAGTCAGATTTTATGTCCAGAATATGTCAGAAGATAATGCCAATGGAAAGCTTGTATTATCATGGTAGCAGCGCTGCTTCGTCAAGTTCAGGTAACGAATGAGATACACATTATATTATGTGTTCGGTTATCAAATATTATTGTATAGACAACGAATAGACCCTCCTACTTTTGGAGGCAATTCTCAGATAAAACTTTTGATATTCTACCTCATGCCCATGATGCTTATTTTCAAACAAAATGACTATGAGGTTCCCATGGTAATTTCAAGTCCTGCAACTTCTCATGAATATGAATTGTACAACTTCAGTTGTTAGTTCCCATGGTAATTTCAGTCATCAGAAATTTTAAAGTTTTCAAATGTTTACAGTTCGCTGCTTGTTGCCACCACAAGCCCTCTAAAATGCCCGACAGCTGAAGTTATCCTTTTTTTCCTGTGAATAGGCTAATATATATGATTGTTCGCTTGTTAGAGCCTCAAATGGTAAAGAGTTCAAAATATAGTTCTTTGTCTCTGATAGTATACATTTGCCACTAGAGTTTTTAAATTTATACTGTGGACAGTTGTTCAAAGTGGATAATGGGTAATGTCCCTGAGGCTGTTAAATTATGAAAACAAGGTTTTCACTCAAAATTCATATCAAGTACAAGACTCACCGAGATCTAGACACACATATCTTACTTACTAATCTGCTATCCACATCTGTCCAGTCTCACTTGTGCTCCATATCTTCACTAGCAGCGTCAACATGAACACAATCATAAAGTTCCAAGCTCGATCAATGAAACATGGAAACACCAAGTCTATATAGACCTAGCTATCTTCTTACAAAACATGAAAGATGTTTTGCATAATACTATATGCTCTCGAGCTCACCAAACAGTGGATAACCTAAACAATGAAGTATATGTCTCAATATATAGCAAAAAACAATCCTAAGTCAATGAGGAACCAATTTCCCAAGAAATTTACTCTAGGCACGCAAGCCTATGTCAGCGTCTCCATGTCGTGCCGCGAGTATGTGTCTGTGCTTCCTAGGCAAAGCATGAGTTTTACTTTTCGAAGTTGAGTCTTTCTGTAAGATCAAGCTGAAGTCACCTTGATAATGATTCGCTATGGAATATGCTTAAGACTCAACTAAGCCTAAAAATAAAGTAATTTATCGGGAAAAGCCTAAAAATAAAGTAAAAATTACAAACTCAATTTTGGAATAAATTACCAATAAAATGACACATGGGAGTATCTAAACAATTTCCCTCACAATTCCTATATCTTGTAGAGTAGATAATTGATCTGATTACCTATATTATAATCGGAAATTCTATATTATCTTTCAATTGGTCTTTTCTTTGCTTTGGCTTTTATTTGAAATAGAATTAGATATTATGCAATCTGATGCCCCACACCAGCTTTTATATAACAATTCATGATAAGTTGCATTCATTTACTATGGTACAGTGTTCTGTTGATTTAACATTGGCAAGACATTCTGTTGCAGATCTGGTTCAGACTACCAGAACAGAAACTGCTGGTCATGGTTCCAGCTTGCAAAATATGTCTGCATATTCTCATGAGCCTGTTGGCAATCTAGTTGGACCAAGTACACAGTCAAGTATCTTTGCCAATATACATAGGGAGTCACCCAGGAGTCAGCCATTACAACAGGTTGTTCCCCAGCTCCAACACCAGCAGTTGCGGCAGCAGCTCTTTAAACAGAAGGTCCAGCAACCACATATTCAGCCCTCGCTAATGCAACCAAACATCCAATATAGTCATCATGAACAACAAGACCAGCAAATATTATCATTGCCAATCGAGCTTCAATATTCTCAGCAGCCGATGTTTACAACGGTTCAGGACCAACAGCAAACTGGGCAGCGCCAAAATGCAACAATATTACAACAGAATCATCATGTTGGACTGCTAGAGAAGAAGCAGCAACTGCCATCATATCAGCAGAACATGTCAACCCCATTCAATCAGTCATTGGGGCTACAAAGTAATGTTTCTGGATTGCAGCAGCAGAAGCAATTCATTGGAGCACGATCAGACATGTTGAAGAGGCAGCCACATCAGCATGCATTGAACGTTCTTCAACAACCTGAGGTTGCAGCACCACAGCAAAGTGTCCATCAAACAACACAGCCAATGCAGTTGCATCAGCTAATGGGTCTACAAGATCAAAGAAATTCATTACAGGAAAGCATGCAGAAAAGGCATCATAATTCGGTGGCTTTGCTCCCTCAGAATGGTTTTATTGATCAACAGAAGCAAACAGAACAGTCTCAAAGGGTGCTTCCTCAAGCCTCATCAGGTACTTTTAAAAAAGTTCAATCATTGAGCAAAACTATTCTTTCTATTTTGTTTTGCAGATTCTTTCTGTAATTTCATATTTAAACATGCCTAGTTTTTTTAAGAACTGAGATGAGATTATACTGGTTGAGATAGTTGCAAAAATAGCAAGATCAAAGAAGAAAGATGTAAAAAATTGATGTATTATTGATTGATGTTTTTATTGATGTATTGTATGTACATTATGTAGGAGATGGAGATGTGAAGTGGAGGTGGAGTGGTGGAGTAGGTGAAGTGGAGTGTGTAGTGGAGTAGGTGAAGTGGAGGTGGAGTGGTGTAGTGGGTTAGGTTTAGTGGAGTAGGTTTAGGTGTACATTAACAGCCCCCTCAAACTCAAGGAGGATAGGAACTAACCAACTTGAGTTTGAAGAGAGTAACAAAACAGGAAAGTAAACTGATAAATAAAATAAAACAGGATAGAGGACACGTTGTGTCGTGTCAGACCGAGATGTAGCAGACAGTTTATGGGTCATGTCGGACCGTTTGTAGCAACAGTTTACAGGGTCATGTCGGACCGTGTGTAGCAGACACTGTGTGACAGTTGTTGTGACAGGTTTACGGAGTCTTGCTGGACCCTTGTAGAAACTAACCGGAATCAATGTCGGGACAGTTTACAGAGTCTTGTGCGACCCATGAAGGAGCTAACCGGAATCAATGTCGGGACAAGTTTACAGAGTCTGTCGGACCCTTAAAAAGTCGCACCCTCAAAAGGTGTGCCCAATCTTTCAAAAGGCGTGCCATCAAAAGGCGTGCCAATCCATAAAAAGGCGTTGCCATCAAAAGGCGAGCCCAAGTCATAAAAAGATGCGGACATGATGCGAGGCGCGTTCGCACCACATTGGCTTGCGCGCCCGTTTTGTCGTCTGGCGTCAAGTGGCGCGCGATGCGCGTGTCTCCTTGGCTATTTAACCCAAGGTTGAGGCGGAGGCTGTGCAAACCAGTCTGAAATCGCTGAACATTTTCATTCTGAAATATCTGAATATATGCATTCTAAAACATCTGAACAATGGCCCTCTTCTTCCCGTTCAGCTACCCAGAATATGGCCTCTTCGTCCCGTGGTCTACTCACTCTCTTTCCCGACCTCAATGAGTCAACAAGAGAGATAACCAGTGCGGTGCCAATGAACCTCAACCAAACACTCTGGTTTTGCTCCATTGAACTTTCCGATGCGGTCTGTGGAGCAAAAATGGCGGTGCAAACTGATATTGAAGCCAATCAGTATACTTTGAAGTCATGCGTGGAAACCATGACGCGGTCACAAACCTGTCGCACCGGCTGCAGAGTAAAGACAAATGAGGTGGCAGCAGTTAAACGCCCAAACTGGCTTCTGCTTCAACCGCATGTATAAGGATGCGCGAGCAGAGATAAGTGTGCTAAAGGCGGGAAAAAAGGAGCTGAAGCGGAAGGCCACCGTTGATGTTCCGATTTGGAGTCCTCCATATGCTGTAGTAGAGGAGCAGGTGTGGAGTGGATCGTGCCCAGTGGAGTGGGAAACACGGAGGCAACACCGTCAAGGGCCGCCCAGACGGGGGCAAGAAGAAAAGACCGGCGAATAGGCGAAGAAGTGAGCGGTTGTGTGCCGGCTGCAGAAAAGAAAACAAAACTTTTGGTGGTGTGTGGTTTGTTGTTGTTGTTGTATGTATGTTTTTTTTTTTTCTTTTTTTGTATTTTTTTTTTTTGACGGGTTGATCCCTGAGATGAATAAAATATGGTTTGGTGTGCAAAGCTATATGGTATGAATGGAATTGGAAAAAGATTAAAAATAATGTGAAAGAAAAATAAAGAAAGAAATAATAAAAATATATTTGAAATCAAAAATGAAAGATGGGGGAAATAAGGAAAGTGGTTTGGAGAAAATAAATAAAAATAATGTAGTTTGAAATCAAACGGAGGAGAGATGATGATTTTTTTTTTTTATTTTTTTTATTTTTTATTTTATTTTTTAATATAATATAATAAAAAGAGATATATATATATATATATATAATAAAGAAAGTGGGGAACAAGAGTGTATCAAGAGCACCAATCGGTGTCCCCCATGTTTTCCTCCTCCAACCGAGACCCAGAGAGAGGGAGATTGAGTGGGTGCATGATGATGATGTTGGGTCCATGGAGAGAGAGAGAGAGAGATTGCCCTCCTTGAGTTTGATCTGGCCAGATCCAGATCCAGAACAGGTACCCCTCTCTGTTTGACCTTTTTCTTCCCCACAAGTATCAATTTTCAAAGGCCTTGGATTAGTTTTTATACTCGAAGCTCTGATTCAGGATCTTCAGTCCAGCGTAGGAGTATGATGAGAAATCTTGCAGTGGGAGTGGTGACAATCTTGCTTGTCGTGGCACAGCTACCGTCGGGGCTGACCCTCCCATCCACGGTACCTGCGTTTCTCTGGTCGCCTCACCAAGATGGATTGTTAAACATCAGAGTGAAGGAAGCTGTAAATTATCAAACTCTCTCTTCAAAGGAGTTAGCCAATTCTGTGATGTCTGAAAGGGGGCTGTTCTAGCTTACTGTGTTCGGGGAATGAAGCTCAACAGCCTCTGGATCTTGCACTTCTTTTTGTTGGGAGAGAGTTACAATCGTCGGATATTTTTGGAGCCAAACATGCAGACTCAGAACTTGTGGACTTTCTCAAGGTCTCTTTTACAAGGGCCAATTTTTCTTTGGCATTCCCCTATATTGCTGCTTCAGAGAATGAAGAGGTGATGGAAAGTATGTTGATTTCTGAGTTTACAGAAACTTGTGGGCATAATTTTGGTGCCAGTAAAGTTGCTTTCCTGGAGTCCTGTTCTTTAGAGGGAGGAAATTATGAAAAACTTGCAGAGAAGTTCAAAAAGAGTCCTTACAGCTATGTTTGGGTAGCTGCTGGAAAGCAGCCAGATCTTGAAAAGCATTGTGAAGACCAAATCATGGGATGGTAAGGATGGAGAAATGTTTGAGGAAGATGAATTCTCCCTTGACGAACTTATGGGGGAAGAATCTGTGAGCAAGGATGAGTTGTAACCAGCCCAGATTGTTGCAGACATGGTGTTCGACGAAATGTCCCAGAGGGATTTTGGGTTTGCTTCGGCGAGGTGGTGTTAGAGCTAATGCACAGCAGCCAAAACTTTTTGTTGGAATGATCCTCATTCTCATCTTTGCTGAAGCCTTGGCCCTGTATGGTCTGATTGTTGGCATCATATTGTCTTCTCGAGCTGGTCAATCCAGAGCAGACTGAGAAGATGGTTTTCAGAGAGAGAGACCGTGGGTTTGTTTTGTTGCATTTCTTCCCGACATTCTGGACTCCAAGGCTGAAGGAAGGAACAAGTATCTAGAGTGAAGGTATGTGTAGCAAATTCTAGCGGACTAGGTTGAGGTCCGGCGGGCGGCTAAGGTGAGGTTGCCGCCCGCCGGGGAAGCGAAAATACTAGGTTCTAAACCTGCTCTGATACCATGTAAAAAATTGATGTATTATTGATTGATGTTTTTATTGATGCATTGTATGTACATTATATAGGAGATGGAGATGTGAAGTGGAGGTGGAGTGGTGGAGTAGGTGAAGTGGAGTGTGTAGTGGAGTAGGTGAAGTGGAGGTGGAGTGGTGTAGTGGGTTAGGTTTAGTGGAGTAGGTTTAGGTGTACATTAACAAAAGATTTAATTGTTTTGGCTGAAGGATATTGCAACTTTAATTGACAATATCCTTGTGGAAAACTTTATACACCAACATGAGAGTAGCTAAAAGAGGCAAAAGTCTATCAATAACTACAAAATGCTGCTTTGACATAAAGCATGGAAAAATCCACCATAAAGTTGGAAAGGTGGCTGTTCACAGCATGAGGTAATCTAGTAATTGCTTCCTGTGCATCCCCATAAACATATGTACGGACATTAGTATTAATTTCAAACCTTGATTATTCTTTGCAGTATTAATTTGGCAAATTGGGATATCTTTGTGCCTGACATGCATTACTTGTGTAAAAGTTTGCTCTAGTGGTTAGTCCAACTCAAGCAGTTGTACTAATTGCTTTGTACTAATCCCAAGGGGTTGGCTTGGGGGTGTGCTCCCTTCGTGGTCTCAAGTTTGAAACCTCATAGATGCAAATAATTTCTTGCGCCAGTCTATACAGGGCTTTTCCCTAGCTTTAATTGAGCCCCCCGCTAGTGAACAGTCAGATTGGTCTCCCGAATTAGTCGGTTTTTAGGGCCAAATACCAAGTTGTCAAAAATTTCATTGTACTAATTGCTTGAAATATTATATTTTGAATCATATTGTCCAAACCTCAATTTTAAGTATCTACATGGTGTAGAAAAAAAATTTTACTTTAATTTTCAGATATTCCCACTTCTCTTTTTACTATCCTTTTTAAATCTTTATGAATTTCTTAGTAGTGATCACTTTCCTTTTTGTGATCCTGTAAAGTCTTGGATAATATGTTGTAATCCATATTATTTGTTTCTCTTATAACAATGATAAGTTTTTCCTTGAAGCAGTATTCTACTGATGCAATATCACTGTCACGGAATAGCTTTCTCTTTCTATTTTTTTTACAGAAAAAAAAAAGAAGGGTTGGCTGATAAAATATTATTATCTCATTGTCTCTCCTGTAGCATCACTTGACTCCACATGTCAGATTGAATGTGCAGCTTTGGCTGATTGGCATGATCAGGGGTATCGCGAGGTATTTATTTATTTAGCTATAAGTTTTTCCAAAAAATAACTTACTAGTGATTGTAACAGGTAGAATTGGGTTATTGGATCTAAGCAGGATTTATAGCTACTGATTGTGGCAATTTTATTATTATTATTATTTTGGTAAAAAATGGAAAACAGTACCTTAATGCAGTGAAATTAATGTGTGAATGAAGAGAAGTATAAATGAAGGAGAAGAGAGCAACCTAGACAATGACAGTAGAGTTTCCTAACCAATCAATCACACTTTCACATCAAAGAAATCTTGTGATTAATGGCTCATTAGCTGTTGACATGCAGCCTAATAGAATATTCCCTTGTTTCCTTGTTTAGATTGGATTGTGATTGATTGATTAATTGATTGATTGTGATTCCTTAATCAGTCAATCAATCAATCAATATAAAAGGTGATTCCTTAATCAATCAATCAATATAAAAGGTGATTCCTTAATCAGTGCCTTAAGGCTTCCTTTTGTAACAGTTAATTAATTAATATAAAAGGTGATGATATCATAATCATTACCAAAGCTTTGTATTCTCTTAAATTACATGGTATCAGAGCCAAAACCTTAAAAAATGCCACCCACGCAACCGCTGCCACCAACCAACCACCACCTATCACCACCCATCCTCCACCGCTGGTTCCTGAGTCCCTGTCGGAACCAGCCAAGGTCCCACAGAGCTGTTTTTGCTTCAGCCGAAGGCCCCTCTAGCCTAGTCGACCCTTGTGAGGGAGGTCCTAACCTCTCTGTGTATTTCAGCTCCTGTGGATGAGTGTTTGAGTGCTATCCATCTTCTGTTGCCCCAAGTTTCTTTCCTCTACTTTCTTGAACACAGTTCAACACTTGTTTTGATTAGAGGTTCATTTTTTCCGTATTTGATTTATTTTTGGGGTCCATAGATGACCCATTAATCTGATTGTTATGTTCCCATAGTGGTCTGTATGTGATTTTGCTTGTTCCAGCCTATTCCATTCCTTTTTCCATTCTTGTGATTCGTGCAAGATTTTTTGGGTTGAAATTGTAAAGTTCTTATGGTTGACCTAACTAGTGAATCCACCACTACTTCTCACCCATCTAAAGGGTTGAGCTCCAATCCAGTTATGACTACTACATCTGAGAACCCGAACCCTAGCCTCAAAATCACCACCTCTCTATTTAATGGTCATAATTACCTTTTATTGTCTCGACACTTTTTCTAAAAAGTAGGGGGAAGATGAGATGTGTTAATAGGAGAGTTTAAGCACCAGGTATTACGGATCCTGACTATGACCAATGGGAGATTACCAACTCTTTAATCATGGGTTGACTCATTCATTCCATGGTTCCTGAGATTGGTGAAGGGTTCTTATCCATGAATATTGCCCAGGATATTTGGGAAGCAGTCGCTACTGCGTATTCTCAGAAAGGGAATTTTTTCTCAGTCTTTTGAGCTGCGCCGTTTTATTGAGCGCTCAGTACATGGGGAGCAGACAGTTTTCCAATATTACACCTTTCTCACTAATGGTTGGAAACGCCTAGATCATCTCCTAGATTACAAGCCTATCTGTACAGTTGACTCAGTTGATTACCAGAAGTTTTTTGCACAGGAGAGGGTCTTCAAGTTTCTAATATGCCTCAATGTGGAGTTTGATCCGGTCTGGAGTCGTGTCCTTGGCGTGGATGTTCTTCCATCTCTTCAAGAGGCCTTTGCATATGTACAGAATGAGGAAAGTCGTCATTCTGCTATGTTACCACTGGTTATTGGAGACCGTTCATCATTACTTTATGCTCCTTCTCGAGATGTGACTGGTTACTACTTCTTTCCCTTCCTTAGGGAAGGACACCGTATTTTGTGATTACTGCCGCAAGCTGCGGCATACTCGTGAGACATGTTGGAAGCTTCATCGGGCTCCATCAAGGAGTCGAGGTGATTGGTCTAGTACTAGAGGCAGTCGATCAGACCAATCTAGAGGACATGGCTCTAATCCACAAGCCCATCAATCTGGTGCTGTTGACACCCTTGATTATACTTCCTCTTCAACTGGTCCAACTTCTGATAGTTTATCTAGCATGACTTCTCCTGAGCTTGAGGATGTTTTGCGTCATTTGATGGCCTGCCGGTCTTCTACTGCTCTCAGTGCATCTTCCTCGTCATTTGCTTGTTTAGGTAATTTAGCCTCTTCTTCTAGTGTTTTCCTTTCCCATAAGTCTTTGCCATGGATTATTGATTCCAGTGCCTCAGATCATATGTCTGGGTCTTCTGACCTTTTCTCAGCATATAAGCCCTCCTTAGGTCAAGACAAAATTAAGATTGCAGATGGTACTGTTTCTTATATCTCTAGGAAAGATTTAATTCATGTCACCCCTATCTTACCTCTGTCTTCAGCGCTCCACATTCCCAATTTTCTGTTAATCTTCTATCATTGATTCTGGTGCCTCAGATCATATGTCATAGATAGTTTGTTACCTCTATCGATGATTTTTCTCGTACTACTTGGGTGTATCTCATGAAATAAAAAGTGAGATATTCTCTGTGTTTCAAATTTTTCATAAAATGATTTGTAGTCAGTTTGGGGCCATTGTCAAAATCTTGCGTTTTGATAATAGGGGTGAATATATCAATTCAGGATTAGAGAGCTATTTTTCCACTTATGGCATTATACATCAGAAATCTTGCACCAATGCCCCTCAACAAAATGGGGTTGCAGAGCACAGAATCGTCATCTTTTTGATATGGCTCGATGCATGTGTTTTTCTATGAATGTGTCTCGGTCATACTGGGGCGAGGCTGTTCTCACCACAGCCTATGTCATTAATCGTCTTCCTACCCGGGTTTTGCAAAAACAAGCTCCACTTCAAGTCCTTCTCGGTTTAGAGTCTTTGTTTTCCATTTCCCCAAAAATATTGGGTTTTGTCTGTTTTGTCCACAATCATTCTCCTACTTGTGATAAGTTGGACCCTCGCTCTCTCAGGTTTGTTTTCTTCGAATACTCGCCTACTCAAAAGGGATATAAGTGTTATCACCCTCCCTCTCGTAAATGGTTTGTGTCTATGGATGTCACCTTCTTTGAGTCCCAGTCTTACTTCTTGTCTTCTCCAGTGTCATAATCATCCTTTCAAGGGGAGCCTTAGTGTAAAGAGATTCCTATTGTCCCTGTTGCTCCTTTGGTGGAACTAGTTGCTCCTACACCATCTATTACTGGGATTATAGAATCTAATGCCACCAAGGATAGGGAAGGGCAAGTTTATGTCAGGGACAAAGGCAAACAGAAAGTTACTTAGATACAAGAGACCACTTCTGCTCACCCATTGCCATCTCCTACTTCTGATAAGAATTCAGATAACTTTGAACCTCTTGTTTCTCTTGAGTCTACTGATATTACTATTTCTGACACTACTGATCTTGGTATTCCAATTGCCAAGAGAAAGGGTGTGAGATCTTGTGCTCAACATCCTATCTCAAACTTTGTGTCCTACCCTCATTTGTCTTCCTCATATAGAGCCTTTGTGTCAAACATTTCCTCTATTAGTATTCCCAACCATTTTCAAAATGCTCTCACTACCTCTGAATGGAAACTTGCCATGATTGAGGGAATGAAAGCGCCTCGTGCGAATGGCACTTAGGAATTAGCTGAGTTACCTAAGGGAAAACGACCAGTGGGATGCAAATGGGTGTATACAGTGAAGCACAAAGCAGATGGTTCCATTGAACATTACAAGGCTCGACTTACGGCAAAAGGCTTCACTCAGACTTATAGAGTAGACTATCAGGGGACTTTTGCAACAGTGGTTAAGACGAATTCAGTCAGAATACTTCTTTCTCTAGTAGCTAATTTAGATTGACCACTTCATCAGTTTGATGTAAAAAATGCTTTCTTACATTCTGATCTAGAATAAGAGGTATATATGGACATTCCTCCTAGTTTTGAGATCATCAGACAGAGGGTAAAATATGTAGTCTTCGAAAGTCGTTATATGGTCTCAAACACTGCTTAAATATGGTTTCAAATAGAGTCAGACAGATCACACTTTATTTGTGAAACATTCCTCACGTGATAAGACTACACCTCTCATTGTTTATGTGGATCATATGGTGCTTACAAGCGATGATAATGAGGAAATATGTCTGTTGAAGAAATATTTAGCTAGTGAGTTTGAAATCAAAGACTTGGGAAAATTGAAGTATTTTCTAGAAATCGAAGTTGCTTGCTCCAAGGATGAGATTTTCATCTCACAAAGGAAGTATGTTCTTGGCCTTTTGAAGGAACATGGATGCTTGGATATAAGGCATGTGATACCCCACTAGAACCTAATTAGAAACTTGGTGATGATGAAAGAGAAGCAGCTATTGATAGGGGGAATTATCAGCGACTAGTAAGTAAGTTCATTTACTTATCTCACTCTCGTCTTGATATTGCTATTGCTGTCAGTATGGTTAGCCAGTTTATACATGCTCCTTATCAAATTCACTTAGAGGTTGTTATGAGAATTCTGAGGTACTTGAAATCTTTTCCTGGAAAGGGTCTTTACTTTTCCAAACATGATCACCTCAAACTGGAAGCCTATACAGATGCTAATTGGGCAGGGTCAATAACTGATAGGAGATCTACATTAGGATATTGTACCTTCATAGGCAACAATCTTGTTACTTGGAGGAGGAAGAAACAAAATGTGGTGGCTAGATCGAGTGCAGAAGCTGAGCTTAGAGCTATGGCACGAGGTGTGTGTGAACTCTTGTGGGTCAGACTGTTGTTGAGTGATCTGGGGATGGGCTAAACAGACTCTATGTGGCTATATTGTGATAATAAGGCTGCCATCAATATAGCTCACAATCCTATTCAACGTGACAAGGCAAAGCATGTTGAGGTTGATCGCCACTTCATCAAGGAGAAACTCAGGAGCGACATGATATGTACTCCTTTTGTGAAGTCAGGCGAATGACTTGCAAACATCCTCACCAAGGGAGTTGGGAGTAAACTATTTCATGACATTCTAGGCTCTTGAGCATGCGAGATATCTTCGCACTAGCTTGGGGAGAAGTGTTAGAATATTTCTTTGTTTCCTTGTTTAGATTAGATTGTGATTGATTGATTGATTGATTGATTGTGATTCCTTAATCAATCAATCAATATAAAAAATGATTCCTTAATCAATGCGTTAGGACTTCCTTTTGTAACAGTTGATTGATTAATATAAAAGGTGATGATATCATAATCATCACCCAAGCTTTGTATTCTCTTAAATTACACAACCTAGTGAAGAACCTATCCTAGTGCTAGAAACAATCTAGCTCAGCCATAAATTAGAAGAAGATAGGAAAATTTTAAATATATATATATGTATGTATACAAAGTCAAGTAGCCTTTAAAATTCACTGCTATAGCAGCATGAACTATGTAGCACAGAATACTGTAATCCATGAACAATAATAGAAGAAAAGAAAAGAGGAAGAAAACTAGGAATCACTACTACAATGCCTTAGGCATCACAATTAAATTATTTTGATATGATGTTTAGCATTTTTATAAAAAGTAAAAATTATTAATTTATTTTTTATATTAATTTGTTAATTTTATTGAATTTATATAAAATGTAAAAAAACAAGTCAATAGTAAAACATTAATCGTGCTAAAATTTGGCACAATCGATAGCGCATCTCTAGAGTGAATGTTTTCTATTTATCATGCCAGTTTTAGCAACAAAAAAAATAGACAAGAGATTGTTGAAATTGCTCTACGTTATTTTATTCAAACTTGTAATGTGTTTCATGTGTGTCAAACAATAGACACGTGTGTCCCTCAAGTGTCTAAAGAATGTCTAGGTGTAAAAAATAATAAGCCATATTTGGACATTTGTTTAAGACATGTCGGGAAGTGTCTGACAAGTGTTGGGGTCACACAGACATGCCCCTTTAGTAGAAGTGTCCATGCTTCTTAGCCTATATAAAAATTATAAAATACCGGATATATATAGTTTTATTTTTGTGTTTATCCTTGTTCTTTTGGTTTTCATTTTGATGGAATATCCCAATTCCAACAAACCATCAACTCCTGAACAAACAATTAAAGCTGAACAAATATGCTAATTTGGTATTTTTTTATCATTTAAGTAAGTTTTTAGTGTGCATGTTTACATTTTAGAATTGAACTAAAATTGGCTCCCCTAACCCGCTCCCCAATAATCCTGTGGGGCACCTAGAAAAACGAAGAGAAAAGAAAGAAGAAACAACGAACCTACTCTTATTATTTGGAATACTCTTTATCATTTTATAATTTTTCTATTGTCTTTGCAGCTTGAATCCGTAAGGGATATGTACTTAACTGAAGTGATTAGGTTCTACAAGAGAATCCGTGAATTGTGTCTTCAGGTGCTTAAGCTATTTTAATATTCTTTTTATTCGTACTGATTGCATCACCTGCTTCAACTTACTTGGCTCAAAACTGATGTTACTACCTGATTTATTTTGGCATCTGCATTTGCTGCTTTTCTCTTGTTTGATACTATATTTTCTTTTGCAGCCACCCAGTGCAGAGTTAGCTACAAAATACGAGAAAACTAGAATCTTTATGGAGAAAACAATTAAGTTCTTGGAAATGCCCAGAGCTGATATTGTTCGTTGCTCCAAGGATAAATTTTATCATTACCTGAAGCTGATCATATCTTATGTTAATTCATTTCGCAACAAGAACACTGTTCCTTCACAGCAGTATGGGCAACAACTGCAACATGGCAGTCAGTCTCAAATACCTCAGCTGCAGCAACAAATAAACATGAAGCTTCAGTTTCATTCGATGAGTCCAGGATTGACAGGTGCACCCTCTGGTTCACCTCAATTAGCAATGCAGCAACGGATTCCCAATTCACAAGCAAACAAGATAAATTTACTCCATAATGGCTCTTTAACTGGTTCAGAACCGAAAAATGCTTGGAGCCCATTACAGCATGGTTCTACACACCAGAATATTGTGAGCAGGCCACAGCAGACCAACATAATAAATGCACTGCATAGTGGTTCTTTAAATGGTATGGAGCAAAGAAGTGCATCAGGTCCTTTGCGACATGGTGCTGTAAGATCTTTGTTCCCAAATATGATGAGCACAGTACAACAGACTAACTTTTCTCACATGACCACTGTGAATGCATTAGATCCTACCACGAGTTCCCTTCCATCAAGTTCTACTAACCCATTCCTGAACCTGAAGCAAGAACATAAGCATCAAACAATGCAGGCACAAACACTACAGCAACCAATGCAACAGCCATTGATTGAGCAAAAGAAACAGCTGAAGTTCATGCAGAAGATTTATGAAGTTAATGAGCCAAAGGTGGGTCGAGTAATAGGTTTTAGCTCTGGAGTGCCTCAGCAGTATCACTCAGTTGGCCAACAGATGGAATATTCTCCACAATATTTTCTGCCATCTACTCCTCATATGAACGTTGGTTCTCCTCAAACCTCTCAACATTCTTCTCCACACATTGACCAAAAAAATTTGTTGTCACCTCTATCTAGAGCCGGGACACCTTTGCAATCTGCTGCTTCGCCATTTGTTGTTCCTTCTCCATCAACTCCTTTAACACCATCTTCTTTACCACTGGATCCTGAGATACACTCTTCCGGCATTTCTCCTCTCTCAGTTGCAGAAAATACTGAACACCCTCAAACCCCAGTTGGGGTAGCTGAAATCCAATCCCAAGCCACAATCCAAAACCAATTCCTTGCCATTGGTACACCCGAGATATCAGTCTCCCCCTTGCTTGCAGAGTTCAATGGTCCAGAAGACAATCACGAAACAAATGCCAAGGAATTGTCATTTAAGTGCTTACTTGAAGCGGTTTGTTCAATTGGCTTCTTTTCAGATTGCCCTATGTATTTTGAGATATGCATGTTTATAGTCATAAATATGACACATGAAGTTTTATCAATTTTGTTTCTTTATTTTTGAGGCAGTGCATATGGAAGAGACTGTTATCAAACAGTTTTGGCCTCCATGAACAAGAGTTGTTTTCATGATTTATGTCCTATTATATGTAGTATGATCACCATTGTGTATGTGGTGTCAATTAGACCATACTGTGAGAGTGTCTATTTACAATTGTCATCACTAGAGATGTCTATCATTTTAGTTGTACGTAGTCCTGTATTAATAGCTAGAAATTGTGAATTCTGATGTTTATTTGCATTTTTTAGGTCAAATCAGTATCACCCAAAGCATTGAGTACCTCTGTACGGGACATTGGCTTGGTCATCAATACAATTGACAGGATAGCAGGAACAACAACCTATGATGAATTTGGAGTTGCTATTAGTGATGATTTGGCGGCTAACATAAGTCATTGTTTACAAGGAAGGAACTTCAGCTTGGATTGTGAAGGCACTTCATCAAAAAGGAAACGTCACATAAGCACAACTGCATCAGATTTCTTATCACTGCCTCTTAATGAAAATGATGGTCTCGAACGGTTATGTTGTCAGACACCGGACGTGGTCTCAAATGCAACATCTAGGATCAAGAGGCCCAGGATTGAGGTCTATTATCCACCCATGCATCATTAATTATTCAAACCAACGCTATTCATGAAAAATGATATGTGATTGAAGAATTGTCCTTTGATGTTAAACGGTGATTAGTTCTAGGATGCATGTGAATGGCTAAAAAAGTTTGGACCTTTATTGGCAATATCATTGATGCAGAGTATAAGAAGCTTAAAGAAAGCTAAACTCAAAGAAGTGATGATATTTGGACATTGGCATGATTTCATAGAGAAACTGATAGAAATCTTCTATAATTATGTTTCTAGTATTATTAGAGTCTTATTTTATTATTATTTTTCTATTTTCTAGGATTTTTAAGGTTAACAGTATTTTGGTAATTTTATATTTACTTACATGGGTTATATGGGTCGCCCATGGGTCAAGTTATTTAATTGAATTTTATTTATGTTTATTATTTAGTCTTAAATTAGTTTTGAAAGTTTAAGATATTATAGTAATTTCCTTTTTTTATTCTAATTGGTTTAGAAAGTCTCTAAAGTCTATATAAAGCCATGTAATGTCTCTAATTCAAGGGAGTTGTTTTTTAATAAAAAGTTGAGAGTTTTGAAGCTTTTTTAGGGTTTGTGTAATGCAACTCAACCCTAAGTGTGATGCCTAAGGCAATCTAGGTGCGATGCCTAGACCTATCTTCTTCTTTTCTTTTATTTCTTCCTTTAATTTCAGTACTTTCACAGCCTAATTACTGTACACGGGTACTGTTCACAGCACCCAGAACGGCCACTGTTTTGATCTCTTTCACCCGGTTTATTAATCCTAAACTAGTTCATTCCATTCATTAATTGAAATCCTAAAATTCCTATTGAGTTTTAGCTTTAAGCAACCATAAAAACCCACAGAAAGTCTGTTTCACAGTTCTCACAGCCTGTCCCTAATTGTCCTGCATCAATTACAGATCTCAACCAACTTTTGAAACGAGCAACAGTCATCCGTTCACTTTCTACCACTCTAGATTTGATAAATAATTCGTTGTATTTTCTTGGATAATCAATCACGCACATATCACCTTGCTTAAGAGCATACAATTAATCAAGAAAATCATCTTGAAGATCCCTCAGGCGAATAGTTTCTCTAAGAAGCGCTTTACCTTCTTCCCAAGTCAATCCACTTGTATTGGATCTCCCATAATGTGAAAACATCATGGCGAAACCTTAAACTTTGATACCAAACTGATGCAGGACGATTAAGGACAGGCTGTGAGGACTGTAAAACAAACTTTCTGTGGGTTTTTATGGTTGCTTAAATCTAAAACTCAATCGGAATTTTAGGATTTCAATTAATGAATGGAATGAACTAGTTTAGGATTAATAAACCAGGTGAGAGATCAAAACAGGGGTTGTCCTGAGTGCTGTGAACAGTATCCGTGAACAGTAATTAGGCTGTGGAAGTGCTGAAATTAAAAGAAGAAATAAAAGAAAAGAAGAAGATAGGTCTAGGTATCGCACCTAGATTGCCTTAGGCATCACACCTAGGGTTCGGTTGCATCACATAAACCCTAAAGAAGCTTCAAAACTTTCAACTTTTTATAAAATATCAACTCCCTTGAATTAGAGGCATTACATGTCTTTATATAGACTTTAGGGACTTCCTAAACCAACTAGAATCAAAAAAGGAAACTACTATAATATCTTAAACTTCTAAAACTAATTTAAGACCAAATAAAAAATATAAATAAAACTCAATTAAATAACTTGACCCACAAGACGGCCCATGGGCGACCCATATAACCCATTTAAGTAAATATAAAATTATCAAAATACCCCTAACCTTAAAAATCCTAAAAAATAGAAAAATAATAATAAAATAAGACTCTAATAATACTATAAACATAATTATAGAAGATTTCTATCAGTTTCTCTATGAAATCATGCCAATATCCAAGGATCATCACTTCTCTAAATTTAACCTTCTTTAAGCTTCTTATACTCTGCATCAATCATTTTTTATCTTATTAATGTCTATCGTCAATGATAATAGCACCTTGCACAAATGTAATAGTCTCATAATGGATTCAAGGCATTTAGTGAAAAATTATGATATGCTCAGATTATGGTATTATCGGAAGGTGTTTTGGTTTACTGGGGAAAAAGATTGGCTTGGTGGTTAAGTGTTAAATCTTGATTGTGTTAGGAAAAAGACCATTCTTAGTTAGCAAGCCATTTTAATTCAGTCTTAGGAAAAAAGATGGAAAGAGATTCATTTCTTAGTTAGCAAGCCATTTTAATTAGATTATAATAACTAACAGATTATTTAAGATCAGCTTAATGAATTTGTTTCTCTTTCGTGGCCAAGGTCAAATGGCTATTACATTTTTGTTGTTTTTTAAACAACATTGATCATTATGTTTTTAACCTTCCCTGTGAGAGCGTTACGACCCCTAAAAAGTGGACCTGTATACCTCCTTTGTGTAATCAATCTCCAACAATTCTGCTCCCTATTTAGTCAAAGTGGTGATACAAATTTCTTCATACACATTTACTTCTAATTCTACCACCCTTGTGCTGCCCCTCTTTCATCTTAATGTTCATATTTGTAGTTCATGGTATTTGCTTGTGTATCTCAGATAAGTATTTTAATATCTATTGTTGCAGCTCAATGATGCACTGTTGGATGAAATCAAGGAGATAAACCAGAAACTTGTGGAGACTGTAATAGATGTGATTTCAGATTCCACTGAATATGCTGCCAAAGGTGGCTTTGGTGAAGGAACCATTGTCAGGTGCTCATATAGTGCTCTAGGTCTTGGTGGAAATTTCAAGCAACAGTACTCTTCATCAAGAATGGTGGGATTCTTAAATTTGTGAATTCATTTGTATATTAAAATTATTTTCCTTTTGAATTCATTTGTATATTAATTATTTTCCTTTTGTCAACTTTTTCTAATAATGATTGTTTTTAATCTACTTGCATGTTGGCTTCGTTCTGTTACAGTTGTCAATACTCCCTGTTCAACTGCTTGTTCCTGCAGATTATCCAAATTCTTCACCTATATTAGTCAATACATCGCCTATTGGCAAGAGGTGAGAGATTGAGGCATTTATGTTTTTCTATATGCATTGGTCTTCAAAACTAAGTGGTTGTGTCACACACATTTCTGCACATTAACCTAGATTCAGAAACACATCTATATCTATTATTTTTATGTAGTGATATCACTGAGATGTGATGTAAGAGAGTCCAATAACCATGCCAAATTTTATTTTTTCTATTGCTGATCATGTAATCCAACAGTATACAACAAAAAGGTAGACATGCTCAACCATGTGATTTTCTTTTAGTCTATGATAATCATTAAAAGACATATTTGAGTACTCATTTCTTGAAAATGATAATTTTTTTGATTTTGGATTTAGTTCGAGTCCTATCATAGTAACATAGATCTAAGTAAGGGTGGCAAGAAACCACTCAAGTTTGACACAACTTTTAGTAAGCCAAGTAAGCCAAGTGCAATTTCAGTTTTGTTCAATTGTAGTGGCTTGTCAACACTTCAAAATAAAATAAGCTCGGTTCAATTATTGTCAAACATATACTAATTGTTGGAAATCAACTGGAATACAATCTATTACTTGGTCTAGCTCATTTACAGGCCCAGAAGGGTTATGTTACAATTCATTCATTATGGGTATCTACTGGGAACAGCATGTATAATAATGTGAAAATAACTTTTGTGCGTTCTTTTCTCAATACAAGCAAACCAATCATTATGACATGACATTTTTTGGTCTACAGAGATGCTAAAGAATTGGAAAATCTGTCAGAGAGGGCAAGGTTAAGGTTCAGTTTATCACTTTGCGAGCTTTCGCAGCCCATGTCACTTGGAGAGATGGCAAGGACTTGGGATGTTTGTGCTCGCACAGTTCTTTCTGAGTTCGCACAGAGCATGGGAGGAGGCTCCTTCAGTACAACATATGGCACATGGGAGAACTGCATAACTGCTTCGTAAACTTGGGGCATTGACATCTGTAATCTTTCGCAACCAATGTCACTTGGAACGGTAATGTTATATAAACAGAATTTCTATACAAAGATTATATATAGAATGATGTGGCTCAATTATAGCGTTCATTGGAAATCAAAATGCCCACCACTATAAGTTATAATTACATAAATGTCATTGACATACATATTGTTCTGTATGACCTTTTTGTATGAAATGTATGTTTAGAATTTTTCCACTTGGAAAGGTGGCTGACAACTTGGGATGTTTGTGCTCAGAAGTTTGCTCCAAATTTGGCGAAGTATTAGGAGGATGCTGTAGTTCAAGATATGGTTTGCAGGAAAATTGCGTAACTGCCGTTTGGCCAACTGCTGTTTGACCATCTTGAATGCCAACTTTGGTGAAGGTAATAAAAGTAATGAATAGAAAAAGGGGAAACTATGTCTAGTCTAAGTTGCTGGAAGCTTAGGTAGAGTTTGCTGATTTTAGGTAGATAGTGAGGGGTGAGTCATAACGCAGAGATAGCAAGAGTTTGTACATATGATCTTAGTTCTTCAAATATGGATAGTTTTTGGGCAATGCCATTAATAAAATATATACTGGGTAATTTTGATGTTCTTTGAAATTGCCCCTCACCTCTTCTCCCCTCCCCTATTTATCTCTCTCAGAATTGGTCAATTTTAAAGGGTAATTGCAAATTAGTGGGACTTGTTAAAAATAATTGTAAAAATATAAAGTTACAAGTTGGTCTGTGTAATGATGCAGCTGAAAATTGTGACTGCATTTTTTTTGGAGCTTAGATTCCACTTGCAACTACATTCACTTCTTCCTATTTATTGTAATTCCCTCAATTTTAAATATCTCATTTTATGACATGAAAGGCAAAGTTCTAACACTCATCTTAGCTAGACATGATTGAAATTCTTTAATATGTTTGGTATTAATGGAATGGAATGTTTATTTTGTTCTTTCCCCACACACATGTGGCGGGTGGTGATTGGAGGAGAAGGAAAAAAAGAAAAAAGAAAAAAGAAAAATTAGCCAATCAGAAAGAGAGGGGGTCAAAGGGCATGCCTCCTTGTGGGGATCCAACTCATTTTCCATATATATAAAGGTTCAAATGTCCATGCCATTGAAATGTTTGTTCCCACAATTCCTTAGCATTACCATTTCAATCTAGGAGTTAGCGAATGGACATTCCAAGTACGATGATCATATAATAGTCAAAAGGTCTTTCATGTGATTTTAATCATTTTGCGTTTTATCTCTCTACCATTATTAATTTCATTCACGATATATTTATAGGAGAAAATGTAAGGATATGTGAATGAAATATAATTATATTTTACAAACATTTTTTCTTTTTCTTTTCAATTTTTTTTGCAAATCTATAAACTAAACACATCCTTGATTTGATAAAATTTGTGACATACGTGACTAATTTAAGAGCCGAAAGAAAAAATATATATATATAAATAAAATCAAAATCAAAACACAATATAAAAAGACAAATATATTCGTTTTGTCATCTTTTTCTCCCAAAATTCTAATTCCAAACTTAAATCATCTTCTTTTCAAAAAAAACATACTTTTAACCTCAAACCCAGCCCTCTTCCACCATTGGGGCTACCTCTCCCGCCACACAACAGCCTCCCACTACCTCCTTCCTCACCCACAACAGACACCCTCTTTTCTTCTCTCCCATCAACAATCAAAATAATTTGAAAATTTTATTTTTAAAAAAACTTGGAATTTGAATCGTGTAACAAAATAAACCTTCAGTTTTTAATCTTGTCAATTTAAATATTAATCTTTTAGTAATTTGTTTTAAATCTAAATTATTCACCTATTTTCATTAAATAAAATAATCTGAAAAAATATATTTTAGTCATTAAATTCAAATAAATGGGTATTTTAAATATTTATTGTACACCTACATAATTGAGTTGAATTATAAAAACATTTTTTTCAAACAATTTTACTCAATAAAAATGAGATATCAAAATATTAAGTTTTAAATTGATAAAATTAAAAATTTATTTTATTATAAAGCTCCAATTTTATTTTATTTTTGTAATTTTTCTTTCTTTTTTTTTTTCCGTATTGTCAATTGAAAAGGGTTACACCAGACACCTTTAAAAGGAGTACACATTATATTCATTTTATACTACAATAATTTGTAATTAACACTGCAAAATATCATAACAGAAGGATACTACAAAGTCTACTTATTATTTTGAGAATTAATTTTTGGGAGACTTATGTAGGTCTAAATAAGTAGATTTATTATTCAATAGGTTTTATAATAATTAATAATGTTTTTCATTAAATTTTATTAAAAAATGTCACTAATTATTAATTTTCAGCAACAGTTTAAAAATTTGTCACAAAAAAATGTTGCTAATTATAAGTTTTAGTGACAGTTTTAATAAATTATCATAAAAAAGTCATTAATTTTTAACTTTCAGTAACAATTTGCAAAATTCATCATAGAAAAACTGTCACTAATTTTAAGTTTTAGCGACAATTTATAAAAATCACGACAAAAAAATCACTAATTGTTAATTTTTAGCGACATGTAAAAAATCATTAGAAAAAATTATTTTTAACAATAATTTTACTAAGACTTACTTTTAATAAGATTTGATGGGAATTAAGTCTAACTATTAAGATTTATTGATAATTTATCCCTAATTTTTTTTAATAACTTTTATGAAAAGATGTTTAAAAAATAGAAAAAATAGTTACTTTTTATAGTAATTTTTTTTAACTTTTTGACTAAAATAATAATTTTTCAAAATAGGCATTAGCATAAATATTAGGTTATAAGGTGTTAGTAATGTTAGGTTATGAGGCCAAACAAATCACCATTGTGAGTTCTGTAGACGACCGATAAGACTGAAAAAAATTTGATGAAATTAGGGTTATCTTTTTTTGTTCTTTTTTGTGTAAAAAATATAAGAGGTGATATGATTCAAAATAGATTAAAAACTAAAAGCTAACTTTTAGCTAGCTTCCCAAATCACTCCTAAATTGATCATTGAAAATCAATCTAAGTTTTCTAATTTTTTATTATTTTTTGTATAAAATACAGTCTATTATGATTTTAAGAAAATTTACACGAATATCAATCGAACCGATTAAATTTAAACTTAAATTCTTCCTATAGTCTAATTTGTAAATATTAAAAGATAAATAATTAATATTATAAATTAGTGAAAAACACATTTATAGGAGAAGTTATTTGGTTGTCTAGAGACATGATCATGTAGTGTGCATTGTGATTGATAAAAGGATACGTGTGATATCTGGAAGGAGTAAGAGTATTGTGATTAGTAGAGGAAGTAAGGCATGGTCATGTGATACTTAGGAATATTGTGATTGATAGAAGAAGTTGGACTTACGATTTGGTATTAGGTAGGCTGCAAATTCATGAACATACTTGCACGAGCGTGAAATAATCTTCTCGTATAATCCTGTTGGTCAAGTTTGCACTCCTCCAAACGTCGTCCCTTTATTTCCTGAAAACACAAACGTGAGCTAGCCGGCGGGTGTGTGCCGAATACCTCTCCGATGCCTAAGTCAACAAATAGACAATAGACAAAAAGCACTGTGTTGTTGAGAATAAAAATTGTGATACTTATACATAGGTTTGTCATGAGCTTTTATAAATTCCACCTGGCACAATCCTAATAGGACTTCAACTCTCTTTAGTAGAGTCCTCCTAGGAATCAAAAAGATAATGCCTATCTTTTTACACTCTCCTCACTGCTTAACCAAGTGACATGGTCCTACCACGGTCTGGTAGTAAAACAACCGAGCTAACACCACGACGCTTTACAACAGATTTCTCCGAGCTCAGCTAGCTCGGTTCCGCCTTGTCTTCTTACAACTCGGTTCTCTTCTCTCTATATCTCGGTTCAGAACACTAAGACCAGTCTTCTGGCAAACAGCTCTGACAAAACTGACGGGATAAAGGACCGAGCTAAGCAAGCCATCACCACAGCCCATAGTTCGGTCCATTTCCCATCTGGTTCCAGCTCAGCCCATGTACAAACATAAATTACCCTCTCAATTGCCCCTTAATTCCATCTGCAACGCATGATTTAGGATTATTCTTCTCCAGCTGAGCTAAAACATCCAAGTCAACTGAACTAAAATAAGTAACTCCACTGGGATTAAAATATTCAACCCCACCGAGATAGATAAGCTCGGCCTTCAGCTCTGTACCTGCCATGACCGGTCGCTTCAAGTACCTGACACCATGTCCTGTCTGTGACACATGGCACATGCCTATTGATTTTTCAAACTGCGACAGTTGTCCGACATTTATCAAAAAACATTTGAAAAGTCCCGCCGTTTTTACGCCTATTCAAAACCCATTTTCTGAATCTCACTCCCACTGTTTATCTTCTTCACTTTTGTGCTTCTGAGACCTGCCTCTGCTTCTGTGTCCCTTCGTGCTCCAGCTTTTAACACAACACTTGCTTCATTGCTTGGTGGGTTTATACATGCTCAGACTGGTAAGTTTGTTTAGTACCTCTTTCTAATGTTCCTTTTTATTTATTCTTATACTTTCAGCACTTAATCTCCATATATGCGTGTTCATATACACTAGAGCGTTGAGCAAATACCATAAATCCAAAACTTTATGCTCAAGCTCAGAAGCACACCAACTAGATTAAAAAAACATGATGTTTAATCCAAAGTCGTGCTGTTACCGAACTAGGTATTTGTTTAGGTGACTTTTAGGCTTGAACACAACCGAACTAAGAAATTGGTTATAACCTTGCATACTAACCATTAACCGAGCTAAAGGCCCTAAGTTAGCCCTTCTTCACGACCGGACTGAGAGCTCCCCGTTACCTAGATGTAGCCAAGCTAAGCTTTTACTATTCTTCTGTAAACTGACTATTTACTTAGCTTGGTCCAGTTGTCTGGGCATAACACTTCTTATTTCTCATTTGCAAACTTGAATAGGTTGGTCAGGCACACCTTTACACCCTGTCCCTAGGCGGCTTTGCTCAACCAAGTCGACCAAAGCCTCAGCTACGCCGAGCTAGGCAACTTGTGAACTCCATTTATAACTTCTAAGTTAACATGGGTAAATATCGATTTCTAGTTGACTCCCCTGGGGCCATAGCCGAGTTTTGAAAGGACTACCAAATTCCTGGCAATGTCTACCTCTCTTTAGCCGAACTGGATACCACGCCCTAGGGAAAACCGGGCTTTGTTCCTTTCACCGTAATATCAATAGTAGAGGCCGGTCACCGATTCCTTATACAGCCTCTGATATGTGAATTCCTTAGGCAAACAAGACTCTGCCCGACCCAACTCTCTACGAACACTTATAGGATAATAAATGGCATCGCCGAGCTAAACCGTCAGCTCGGCCTCAACCTCGGATTGGCCGAGCTATTCCATCAATATTTGCTTGGCCAAAATGATGACGGTTGGGTGTATTATTTAAGGGTAAGAAGAGGCCGAGAGAAAATAATAAAAAACACACCGGATAAAGATGTAAATGACGACTTCTTTTGGGTTTCTGGCAATTTCGAAGACCAGGAAGCCCAGATACTGGGCTACAACATTAACTGGAATAAAGGAACCGCTGGTAAGAATACCTCGTTTTAATTCTCTGTTTTTGCTTTGTTGTTTCAGGTTATAAACTTTCGTCGTGCTAACCGTTGCCTTTCTCTTCATGTAGACTTAAACTAACTAAAATCTCACAATACCCATACTCCAACCAAGACGCTCTTTGTGCCGCGCTCTGGTACCGTCATCGAGGTTGGGTCAAGCTACTTAACTTC